AGAGAGAGAGAGAGAGAGAGAGAGAGAGAGAGAGAGAGAGAGAGAGAGAGAGAGAGATAGACGAGTACGCACGAGCAGCGCGTACGATCACAAAATTGCATATCACACCCAACCCACGCACGATTCGCGCGTGCGTGCTCACGTGCTCACGAATGCAACCGGGTGGTGCAACGTGGCCAACATCACGCACCCACGCTTCGAGCGCCCACGCGAGATGCGTATGAGCGCGTGACGTCCTTCGTCACACGAGAACGGCCCGATTGAGCGAATGAACAGAATCTAGCGAGAGATCCAGTCCAAGAGTGAATCATGCGTCCCACGCTTTTGCCGGCGCCGCTTCTACTGGCGGTGCTGCTCGCCTGCCAGGTAGCCCGTTGCTTCCTGCTGGAGGGTTCCGCGACGAGTTACGCACAATTTCGCAAATGGAATGCCGGCCTGAACGGCACCCTCGAGTTCGAGTTCAAGACCGAGCAGGGTAACGGGCTATTACTTTACACGGACGATGGCGGCACTTACGACTTCTTCGAGGTCAAACTGGTCGAGAGCGCTCTCAGACTAAGGTACAATCTTGGCGGCGGGGCGCAGATTGTCACGGTTGGCCACGACCTCGGCGATGGCCATTGGCACAAGGTACAGATTACCAGGTGCAACGAGAACACTACCCTAACAGTGGACGGTGTTGGCGCGGTCTCGACGTCGCGCGGCAAGGAGTTCGAGTTCGGCAAGCTCGCCGGGAACTCGGACGTCTACGTGGGTGGTATGCCTAGCTGGTACAACAGCAAGCTGACGCTCTTGGCGCTGCCTAGCGTCATATTCGAGCCAAGATTCAATGGATTTATTAGGAATCTCGTGTATGCCGATGGAGAGAATACTGTGCCCAGAAGGCAGGAGATGAAGAGTCGGGATGTCAAGGTATATGAGAGTACTACTCATTTTTGTATCTACTTCGTTCAAGATCACGAGATTTTTAGCTTCTCGATTTGTTTAAACCGGAAAATATTTTACTGAAATTGTACGGAAAATGCACAATTCTATAAACGTAGATTCTAAATGCAGATTCGTGCAATCTTTGCGAATTCTTCATGGTACATTCACGATGTCAAGCATAGCTGATGACTCTTTTTTGTACAAATCTTGTCTCAAATCGTAGCAAAATTAATAAAATGATAATAATATTAATACTATTATGTATAAAATTGTGTTGCGTTCATATATTATTTTTATTATTTTCTTAGTCACTTGTAATTTATCATATCGTTTAATTTTTTTCGTGAAGAGGTAGATGTTACCGTAACATACGTGACCAAAATAAGGGAAAGGGTTCGTTGATCGAAAATCGCCGACAAAATTGGGATGCCAATCATGATTTATTGGACAGTCCAATTTAAGACTATACATCCTACCGGCGCAATTAAACCAATGGCACACAGAAAAATTTAAGCAGTAATATATAAGCAGTAAACAAATCGCTATTTTGAATTTATTATTGCTTTACGAGATTCTTCACTGTGATTGGCTGATTCACTTCCAAGTAAATGTCATTTATCATTTTGACGTCAAAGTGACGACAAATGTCAACTACCTGAGCTACTGCTTACATCTTACTGCTTAAATTTTTCTAAGTGTCATTGGCTTTATACTAGAAAATAAAAATTCTGTCTAACTTAAGCCCTGCGACATGGAATAAATTATTTATCAATTTGATGTTTCTCCAATCTGAATTATTCTGTCGAGGAACATCGAGACGCATTTTTCTTCCAAGAATTGCATCTATTAATTAGTATGTTAATTGTTGCAAGCGATGTCTAAGATGTTTTTGTTATTCCGACAAAACAACGCTTATTATAATCTGAGAGTAATTGATTAACTTGATTTTTTTTATGTAAATGGTCACTTGGAATATTTTATACTCCACTTAAAAATTATTATTGATATTATAATGTATATTATTATTTCCCAATTTATTAGTATTTGAGAACATGAATTTATTCACAATTTTTCGAAAAAAGTAGAAATCAAACAAATATTAAACAAACCAAATTAACAGTGCGCAATATAATATCCAGCGCTGATTCCTAACGTCTAGTTGTATTTTGCTGTTATATTTCATTGGAATAAGCAAGTTAAATAGTTTATTACAGTATTAAAAAAAAACTAAAGATGTTAATTAATAAAATTTTAATGCGAGTTTTCGATGAAATTGAATATTTAAAGCTTCTTAAAGAATAATTGCTAAAATCAAATTTATTAAACAATATCCATTGCGTTTTATTTACAATTTACATTTTCTCATCGCCGCGTTGGGATAAAAAATAGGTTATTTCCGGATTAATGAAAAAACTGTCTATTTCTCATTCATTTTTTATATTATTCATTTGCTATAACCAATAACAAAAATTCATCAAGGGAGGCTTATTATCTCGCCGTAAGGAAAATTTTTTTAAGATCAAATATAAAAAAACAGAATATTAAATTATTATTAAAATTACTACATTAAAAAAATACTATTTAACTGGATTATTTAACTGGATAATTCATAAAACGTTTTATTTAAAATTAATATAAAAGAAGAACAATATAATAGAATCTATGTTTTATATCTAGGAGCTTCTTAAATTGAAAAATATTTTGAGAATATTAAAATTATAATTTCAGAAAAATTAAAAATATATATAATATTTTTTGTTATGAATATTTTTAAAAATGAAGACTTCAAGAAGAAGGCATGGCCTCCATGCTCCTGTAAAATCGCCAGTGATTACAACAACATAACTAAAAAATTGACAATTTAAAATTCATAGAAAAAAACGGAATATAAAGAAAAAAGTAGAAACAATATACTTATTTTCATTCTTTTATAATTAAGATTACATTAACATTACATTTCATAAAATTAATATTACAAAATTTTAATATTTCAAAATGTTCAAATTCATTTTCTGGAAAACTTTGTTTTTTATAAATCATGTCGTGTTGTTATCACAAATAAGCGGTATTTTTTCATCCCCTTTTTGATCGCATTCGTGTAGCCTGTATTAAAATTTATAGTACAATATGAAATGCGAAGCGCGAAAATTGTCATCTTTTTTCAACGAATCAATACACGTTAGTCAGAACAATACACATTGTATATCCAATAGTGTCATTGGCTCCCGTGTACAACACCGTGCAACCAATAGCTGAGTCAGGTTCATCGAGAAATTCTTCTTGATACGCACTAACGCGAAAAGCGCGTATGCGTTCGCTCCGTCAGCATAAAATCAAGACTTTCCCTATCGCGAATCGCGCGTACATAAAAGACTAAATTCCTTCCATTTCAAAAGAAAGAAGATCCCGTCATTCCTTCTTTCTTTCCGCGCCGTTTTATCGTTTACTTCCGACGATCGATACTCCCTTCATTGTTCAGAGGCAACATCTTTGAAATAACAGAGTCTTTTCTTTCTTGATTTTGTGCGTGGGATAATTAGCAAATAGATAATCCGTTTGTTCAAGTAAAAATTTCCTTCTGGATACGCTTTTTCTATTTCCTGAAAATTTTGCGAAATGCTTATCTACGCAAAGGTCTGTTTAATTGTTGAATATTTTATACGTTGAATATTTTATTCAGGAACTGGAAAAGTCCATTTATTCATTTTTTATGTTGTAAAGCTCATTATGCTTTCTATGTCTAGTTAAAAATTAAATTCTATGAAATAATATTGTAGTTGTTTCAATTTCTGACATTATAATTCTCTTTATAGTTATTTTAATGATAATAATAATCAATATTGATATCAACTTTTGAGTCTAAGAGAATCAAGACGACTTTCTTTCTTTCTTTCGACTGTACAATACGTTCCATTTCAATGTGCTTGTCTGCTGGCGCCCCATGACAGAATTTACTACGTGTTACCGTAGAATCGAGCTCGGTTCATATTTCTCTCGATGTTGGTTGTCTGCCAAGAATTCCTCCATCTACTCTTCGGATATGTATCCCGCTTTATCCAAGTATTCCCGGAATCTTGTATCTCATTCCGAAAGTAATCTTGTACTTAGCAAATAACAGTCAGACATTCTTGTTATTCTCGCGATGATAGCCCTCCTTCTCGATATCGAGAATACAAATTGATATTTCTTTTTTATATCTTGACGATAGAATTAGATATTTACTATGATCTATAAATCTATATGAATGTTGTTTAATCGTTTAAGTATTGTATAAAGGTATATTAATTTATATATTTTTAAAATTTTTAAGTATTAATCTTAATTTACTAATACTTAAATTGAGAAACTATTTGTAATTTATAAAAAACATAATTTTAATTTGCAAAAAAGTTGTTACAGATAGTTGGCACCACAAAAACTCACTGTTTAAAAGATTAAGGATACATTACATGTACTTTTTAACAAAATGAAAAGATTATGAAAATATTATAGATTTTTCTGTATTATATTTGTGAAAATAATACAAAAACTTTGGCAGCGATTTAGAATTTGAAAGAAAAATTATTTGTATAATGAAATAGATATTTTTAAAACATAATTAAAATATAACAAAATTTTTAGTTAAATTATAAAATTATATTGTTATATAAAGATAGATATTGAACTGTTTAATATACAATATTTATTTTTATATGGAATATATATAAATTTCCATTTCCAGTCACTTTTTCTAGAGATACCTCATTCTTATCAATCCTTAAATGTCATCGTATGATCATCCATTGGATCCAACATTTTTGTCAACATTTGTCAACGTTTGTTTATTACCATGCTTTAAACAAGTATCAATACAATACAAGTATTAATACTAATTTTTAGATTTTATTATTAGTTTTAATTAAAAATAGATAAATGATAGTCTAAACATAAAAAAAATTAATAAAAATATTTTCAAGATTAATGATTTCTTTACGATATCAGTTAAGAGTTAAGTAAGGAGTATTCGTAAATTTAGTCACCTTGCTGCTCGATTGGCCACACGAGGCGCGCATCCGTTTACGATTAGATAAGGCGACAAATCGAGAATATCCGTCAGGAGGATCACCATGCGATTGCCAGTACAACGATGTAACTCGGTCGACATTATCGTTCTCCGTACATCCATACGTGACGTTACGGCGACGCAGACAGATAATCCAAATTTATCAGTGCGCAAGAAATTGTGGACAATACATTATTATTTAATTATTTCCCTCCCGTACGTATATAGAATAATAATTTCTAACAATTATTATCTGAAATTTAATAATATTTTGCTAATCGAATTAATAAAGGGAGAAAATCAGGATCTTGCAAAATCATCATTTCCAAATTCCAGATGTGCGAGTTGAGGATTCATGTTCTATTACATTACAATAGAATACGTGTAATAGAATAGCCCCAATTATCATTTTTTAATGGTCCCTTTCTTTTAAATCCGTTCTTGATTCTCTCTGATTACAACTCTCGCCATTTACCTTGTCTCCAATTATATGAGCAGGAAAGAATGGAAGATAAACGAGTTACGCTCGATAGAAAATCTTCATTTCCCGCGCGAAACGCCTCTCCAACTGCCGGTTGCTTCGTATTAATATTATTTTTCTGTCGTTAACGTTGTAATGTACGCGTGGCACGAAAAGCGATTATCAGACGTACAGGGAGCGATCAACGGGCTGCAAATGACTATCATGAAAAAAGCGAGCAATTACTCGTAGGAAGAAATTATTTCGTACCTGTTACACCTTCACCATGACTATATCGCGCATAGAATGAATTAAATAGTCATAAGTTAAGTAAATAAAGAGAATGAGAAAAGGATCATTTATAGTGCTCTATATGATTGAATATCGGAACTAGTAAATGTCGCTAATGTCAAATTGTAGAAGAGTTAATGTAGTGTAGTTAACTTAAATGCCTTAAAGGCCTGTGTGTTGTGTGTATGCAGT